TTGTATTTATATTTTATAAAATTAAATGATAATAATTAATATATAACAAATTAACTTTCATAATTTTTTAATTAATTATAAAGATGAATTAAATTAGATAGATTTTTAGTTGGTTAAAAATGTAATTATATATATTATTGTAGCATGTGTAATTTTAAAAGGATAAATGCTAATTTTGATTCCTTAATTTTAAGATTTTACATAATTTTTGTCCCTTATCTTTTTTTTTGCTCATTTTGATCCCTCAATTATGAGTAATTTGCATTTTTAGTCCTTTTATCAATGTGCTAAAGAAACTTAATTGATAGAAGAACTAAAAATGTACATTATTTATATTTGAAGGACCAATCTGAGCAAAAAAAAATTGAGGGATGAAAATTGTGTAAAATCATAAAGTTGATGGACCAAAATTGATATTTATGATTCTAGTGCTTGTTATATAATATTAAGATATTATTGAATTTCTAAGGCACGTACTACTTAATTATGGGAAAAGATCGGAGTTGGATGTATCGTCGTCGAGATGAAATGGGGTATTGGAACAATGAATTTAATGTTGGGGTAAAGATTTTCTTAGATTTTGCATTCTCACAAACGGACTCGATGTTCTGTGCAAAGAATATGATTCGGTGTCCGTGTAGTAAGTGTTGGAATAGAGAATGGCATCATCGATGCAAAGTGCAATCTCATCTTATTAAGAACAGCTTCATGGATGGGTATTTTATTTGGAAAAGACACGGAGAAATTATTCATAGAAAACGGTGTTGTACCCAAGTGGGTGAATCATCAAGTGCCGTTACTGCTGCTGCTGCTATGAATAATGTTCCAAGTGTCGATCAACTCAGAGACATGCTTCATGATGCCATGGGACCAAACTTTTTTAATAATGAAAACAGTGCCATAGAGGTAGAAGATGCAACACAATTTCATGCTAGTTTTGATGATCCATATGGTGTCAGTATAGAATCGATATTTGAGGAGCCAAGAGGAGATGCAAAATAGTTCTTTGATCTTTTGCGAGCAGCTGATACACCTCTTTTTGAAGGGTGTGATGATGGTGTCACTGTCTTAAAGTGGGTGTGTGAGCTCATGAGTGCAAAAACATTTTTTAACATGAGTGTTACTAATTGGGACTATGTGTTAAAGCGTAGTCTAATGGCCTTCAAAAAAGTTGATAGGGAGAAATTGCCAACAGATTATTATAGTGCCAAGAAGATGTTGAGGCGTCTGGGTCTCGG